TTTTTTTTTTATTAAAGTTTACTTTCTCAACCAAAGTTCGTTCCGGCTTCGCAAATTTATGTTTAAGCGAGCCTGCTAAGTCAATGCCCAGCGGATTTAATCTTAAAGCTGCCTGGTTACATGTGCTTTAACATGGCTTCCAAAATAGTGGAGAAAGAGATAATCATGGTCGTACGTTTTAGCAATTTCGTACAAAGTCGCACAATGGCGGTCAAGAGTATAGAGGCAAAATATATCACTATCAAACCTTTAAATTTGTCCGAGGGTTTTCATCGAGTTGCGGAATATTTCGAACCAAATCTGGGGCATTAATTCATCACGAAGCGATGGAGATCGAGGGAAGATGTCCCTAGGCAAGATTTGAGCTCCAAAATGGAGTTTTTGGTATGTAATATTTACCAAAATTATAGAGCTTATGAGACATTAAGCGACTGTTTACCGGTAAATTTTGAATCGCGATTTGTCCGAACTTATCTTTCATTAAACACCTAAAAAGTCATATTGTGAGAACACCAAAACATTGCTTGTTCGATTGAGATCAAGGGAAGCAGGCTAGTTTTTCTAATATGCGTGATATCTGAATTTTTTTATATTATGCCATACAATCCTTTGTAATCGTGGGCTGCCATTTTTAAAGTTCGGTGGAGAAGAAATTTGATCGATGTCTCCGATTTCTGGTAATGTTCCTATAAATGACATAGCCACAGATAAGTAGGTAACGAATGCACCCAATCTGCTTTTAAATCACACTTATAAAATCATTAAAACCCATTTCGTCTTGAAACAAGCGACATAATCATCAAAAAAGGAGGGTTATAATTTCCCTTGCCAAATATAACGAGTCCTTTCGATCGTTTCTTGCAGCTGAGCTATTAACAACGCTTCACAAGGCCGTAAAACCAGCTAACAAGGACGCTTCTTACTTGCAAGTCTTCTATGACAAGTTTTATCCTTGTTTGAGGGAAAGAGGATGGGTGGGGGGGGAATTTCATTTGGCCATTTTCGCATAGTTTCTTTCAGCTTATACTTATAGCTGCTGGAATGTTCAAATATTTCCACTTACGGACATGAACAGGAAATTTCATTCAACTGAGCCATGGGAATATAGTCTTTTTGTTTTGGGGATTTATTTGGACTTCTTATTTTAAACAAAATACATTACAGGGTAATTGGTACTGCTCAAACATTCATACCTGTTTCTACAAAGGCGTTGAAAACGCAAAGGTGGCTTCATATCGCTTGTTTTCAACGCCTACTTCTGCTACTTAAGAATACGCTTGTAATACAGGTTCTTTACTATGTTAGGTGGTCATATTGTGAGTTTTTGTAAAAAATGACAATATAGTTAGCTTTTTGCAGGATATCCTATGTTTTGTTCAACATGATGCATCTTTTGTTTAAGAGAATATTAGTTTCCACCTTGACCGAATGTTCTTTAATATAGGGCTCCGCTTTTGCATGTCAGCTCTATGTTAATAGAGGAGCCCCACAGGCGCCAAACATGTCTGTTATTTTATCACTTTTTCTATTATCATTTAGATAATATTTACAATATTCTTCTCTTTTCAAGAGCGAAAATATTATCTCCAGATGTGTATTTATATATCAGTCATTAAAGTTCTGTGATTTGTTCCGTAGTATAAACGCAGTAGATGCGACTCATTTTAAACACCGACGGAAACATTTAGCAAGCAGGTCTTTAACGGCTGCCCGATAATTAGAACTAAATGCAATCAGAATAAATGGGTTGATGGCTGTACTGAGCAATGGAAATACATAATACAATAAACCAGGAAATAAAAGATATTTGTCATCAAAAAAATGCTTTGGATATGACGCTTTTAGAATCAGATAAATATAGAGAGGTGTCCAGCACATGAAAAATCCCAAAGTCACCGATCGAAAGATTTTCATAATGTTCTGATTTTCTTTGGATCTCAGT